CATCCTCAGCATCACCAGCAGTTAGCATCATCCCCAGCATCAGCAGCAGTTGTCATGACCTCTGCATTTCCAGTCGGGTCAGAAGAGCGCCGTCATCATTTTCAACATCATGTTCATCATCTTGTTGCTTGAATTTGTACCCGTTTGATCAACACACCACTACTCCATCATCATAATCATCATTTTCATCATCATGATCATCATCATTTTCCTTTTCATCATCATCAGCAGCAGTCATCATGACAATCATGACAACGCATCTTCTGCATTTCCAGTCGGGTCTAACAGGACGAACATGATGAGGAACATGATCATGCTTACTTATCATGTTCATCATGAGGATGCGTAGTGATGATTATTCATCATCGTCATCATCAGTATCATTTTCATCATCATCATTATCATCATGTTCATCATCATCATCATGTTCATCATCATCATCATCATGTGCATCATCATCATTTTCATCATCATGTTCATCATCATTTTCATTTTCATCATCATCAGCCATCATCATGTTCATCATCATCATCATCATCATCATCATGTGCATCATCATCATTTTCGTCATCATGCTCATCATCATCATAATCATATTCATCCTCATCATCATGTTCATCATCATGATCATCATGTTCATCATCATCATCATCATCATCATCATCATCATCATCATCATCATCATCATCATCATCATCATCATCATTTTGACGTTCATCACATCCCCAGCGTCAGCAGCAGTTATCGTGACAATCATGACAATGGTACAGCCACAGCCCGAAGGCTGTGGCAGCCACAGCCCGAAAGCTGTGGCAGATACAGCCCGGAGACTGTACCAAAGCCACAGCCCGAAGGCTGTGGCAGCCACAGCCCGAAAGCTGTGGCAGATACAGCCCGAAGACTGTACCAAAGCCACAGCCCGAAAGCTGTGGCAGATACAGCCCGAAGACTGTACCATAGCCACAGCCCGAAGGCTGTGGCAGCCACAGCCCGAAAGCTGTGGCAGATACAGCCCGAAGACTGTACCAAAGCCACAGCCCGAAGGCTGTGGCAGCCACAGCCCGAAAGCTGTGGCAGATACGGCCCGAAGACTGTACCAAAGCCGCAGCCCGAAAGCTGTGGCAGATACAGCCCGAAGACTGTACCATCGCCACAGCCCGAAGGCTGTGGCAGCCACAGCCCGAAAGCTGTGGCAGATACAGCCCGAAGACTGTACCAAAGCCACAGCCCGAAGGCTGTGGCAGCCACAGCCCAAAAGCTGTGGCAGATACAGCCCGAAGACTGTACCAAAGCCACAGCCCGAAGGCTGTGGCAGCCACAGCCCGAAAGCTGTGGCAGATACAGCCCGAAGACTGTACCAAAGCCACAGCCCGAAGGCTGTGGCAGCCACAGCCCGAAAGCTGTGGCAGACCTCATTAGTTTCATCATCATATCCATCATGCTCATGTTCATCATGTTCATCATCATCATCATCATCATCATCATCATCACCATCATCATTTTCATCATCATGTTCCTCATTATGTTCAGCGTCATCATCATCCTGATGATAGTCATCACTGCGCATCCTCAGCATCACCAGCAGTTAGCGTCATATGACCTCTGCATTTCCAGTCGGGTCAGAAGAGCGCCGTCATCATGTTCAACATCATGTTCATCATACTCGCTGCTTAAATTTGTACCCGTTTGGTCAAAACACCACTACTCCATCATCAGCATCATCATTTTCATCATCATGTTCATCATCATTTTCATTTTCATCATCATCAGGAGCATCATCATTATCATTTTCATCATCATCATTATCATCATGCTCATCATCATCATCATCATCATGTTCATCGTCATCATCATCATCATCATGTGCATCATCATCATTTTCGTCATCATGTCCATCATCATCATCATAATCTTTTTCATCCTCATCATCATGTTCATCATCATCATCATCATGTTCATCATCATGTTCATCATCATC